AATACGTTTGGGGGGGGGGGGGCAGAGGGAAGTCTGATTGAAACAGAGCTGCCTACTAATAAAAGCATGTTCTTCTTGTTCTGCTGTGCAAGTAGCTTTTGCATATGAATACTCTAAGATGCAGCTGAATTCCTGGCTTTTTTCTTCTGTAGAGGTAGTAAACAAAAGCCTTCTAAATTTTGGGTTTAGAGAACTATTTCTGGGCCAAGACAGTTGGATACAATAGCAGAACCTATCAAAGATCACTGCCTGCTAGCAAAATCCATTACAATCATTTTAACCATTTTTTGATCTGTCTTAAAAGATAAGGTGACTGCCAGTAGCTTTCTTTAGGTACACTGACTGAACAGAGTGACACCCACACTTACATCAGCGTAAGGTCTTTCAAATGAAGATTTAAGTTGATCAATATGCTCAAAACCTGCAGACAGGTGTGCTTCTCAAAGCTATAAAGTGCCCACCTCACCTCAGAATCCACAGCCTCCAGACTTCCTAGAAAGGGTGTGCTTGTGTTTTGGGGGCAGCTCAGTGAAGGCACCTGCTACCCGTTCCTTCTGTTTCTGGCAGTTCAAAAAGTATGTCAGATAGTGCTGGCTTGTCTCACCTACAAAGCAGAGTACAGAAAGCTGAAACTCAAGTTGTAACTGAGCGACTCCGTAGTGTAGTTTTTAAGCAAGTCGGAACAAGTTTTTATGCCACCTGGATGTGTAGCGCGTGGGTAGAGTGCTTGGAAAGTAGTATAAGGTGCAGCAGCTTTTCTGAAGGTTCTGTAAAAGCTTCCTTGTGGTGGATCACAGTAATTTCTTCAACATTACATTAAAAATGTGGTAAATGAGGTGCTGCTCCAATCTGAAGGAGTCTGTATCCTAAAAGACCGGTGAGAGAGCATGAACTATGGATAGGAACAGCTCTCGAGTGAAGAATCTGGAAGTATGTGAGTGGGAGTAGCTGACGGCATAGGAGGTAATACGAAGTGGCACAAAGAGGTGGAGGTTCAGGGAGTGCTTGGAAGACGTTTGCTTAGTAGATGTGGGTGCAGGGTGTGACTGTAGAGGCAGGGAAGCAGGGGGTATTTGGGCCCTTCAAAGGCAAGATTGGGAGTGCATGCTTTATGAACTGAACTAAACTGCATCAGACATGGAAAGCATGGTTAACCATCTGCTGCTGAGCTACACATAATCAAACTGGCTGGAACGGACAGCTCGTACACTGGGCTTTCAGGGCAGGAATGGGAAGCTAATAAACGGGGACTCGGGTTGTGCGCCTACCTTGCTAAGTTAGCAGAAAGGTTAGTTTCTGAAACAGTGCTGTACGAGATTGATAGATGCTCTTCTGTGTAGCTTAAACAGTTGAAATTTCTTTCAAATGAGAACGCAGAACACCTGCCTAATGAGGTTTAAGCTGTCCATTTTTCAGGTCATCACTGTTTTTACTGTTGCATTCCTTGGATTCAAGGAGTTAGTTATTTTTTTATTCCTTTTAAGATTGTTAGTCTGTGTAGCCATGCATCTGGAAAGCAGATCTTAAATGTGAAAAATCAGCACCTGTTCAGGGGACTTCTGACTTCAAATCCAAGTTCTGGATGTATTTCTGTTTTGGAGGTCAACAGCAAGATCAGTGTGCCATTTAACCAAAGGACTTGGCAAACTAAGCCCAAATGAGACTGCTATCATCTCTATGCTTTCAGTTGACTTGATGTTTATCAGCATTATACTGGAGTCTGTATTGTGTGAAGCTCGCAGCTTTGGTTTGCTAGTGGAAGATCACAGGGTTTTTTTGTCAAGTGAGGTAGGGGGAACAAGCTGAAGAAAGTGTGGGCTTCTAGGCATAGAAGTGAGTGACAAAGCATTGGTATTACAAGCTGATCATCATCTGGTTGCAGACTCTGAACAGCATGTCCTCAAAGCATGCCCAGTCAGACTTAGTTACTACTTCCAGCTTGTGAGCAGTTGGGCCCTAACTCTATAGGGTGATGTGATGTCTGCTTCATAGATCCTAAAGGGCTTTTAACCTGGGCTGTCTTCTCTGTGCAACATCAGGGGAGAGAAGCAGACTTTCTGGTGCTACGATATTGAACCCTAATTAAACAACTGGATGCATCTGAGTCAACCTTTTTTCCCAAATCTGGTTGACTGTTTGGTTCTGTTACAGACAGTGGATGTAGTGAGATACATAATGACCACTGTGGCTGAGATTCATCTTCTGCCAAATAGTGAAGGGAGCATGGGAGAAATTTGTACTACAGTTGATAACATTTGTTATGGCTCCTGGGTTAGCTACAGGAGATAGCTGTGAACTTGGCTTTCAAGCTGTTACAGATAAAAGTGTAACAGATAGTAAAACATCTGCCACTAGAGAACCTCTCTAATACAACACTGTTTTGCAGCAGTTATGTCAGAGCTTAAAGTGATGCTGAATTTCTGGTGAAAATGGGCTCAAATACTTTCTAGTTGCATTTCGATTGCCTCTTCTGCTGCTGAACAAGTTGGACACTGTAGCCTAGCAGGAAGCAGACCTGTTAGGTCCTTCCACCTTCCAGCCTTTTAAAAGTCCTCAGGGAGTAAACCCATACCTGTGGGTTGGAGGCTTACTCCACAAGAGTGATTTATTACTGTAAATGTTGTCCATAGAGTAGCTTGCATCAGAGGAAAATCTTCTGGATATTTCTAGCTTCCAGGTAACTGGGAGATCCTGACGTAGAGACCTTGGCTCCAGCAGAAGTAGGTGAACGGCTCTTCTCCTATACTTGCCCTGGCTGTCCATCTGTTAAGCTATGCAAAGCACTTCTCCCCAAGTAACTTCGCTCCCCTGACTGCCTCAAGGCTTGAAAAATTAAAGTGCTTGTAAGAAATTACTTGACTGACTTCGCGTGAGCTTCTATACACATGAATATAATATCTACAACTTCTTGGCTATAAAGCCTTCAGTTGGAAGGCAAATGTTTAGAAAAAGCTTATGATATTTTACTGTGTAAACTAGCTGCATCAGATAAGCACTAAATTTAACTTTCTTTTTTTCCAGTCGGGTCAATTCAGTGAAGATATGATTCCTACTGTGGGCTTCAACATGAGAAAAGTTACGAAGGGTAATGTTACAATAAAGGTATGTTACCATTGTTGACTGTCTTTTTAAACCTTTAAAAAAGGTTGTCTTCAGCTTCTAGTTTAAAATTTGTTTGCTGTGTTTTGCTTCCACCATTGGGACAAATATAGGAAACTGAAGAGGCTCAGCTAAATCTTTCAAATAGCTTAAGAATACACTTCTGTTTGTTTATTTATGGGGTTTCTTAAATGAGAATCTGTGTGTGATTTCCAGGTTCATGGACTAGTTAAAGCAATGTTGTGATAATGCTGTCTGGCTTTAATCTGAGTTAATTTTCACATGTTGCTTAAGGGAAGGCTTACATCAAAAGCAAAGTTTTAGGTCAATATATCTTATTTTCTTTTATACCACAGCGTTTAAACTTCATACACAGGTGTGTTCTTGCATCTGATGTAAGATGCCCTAGTTTACATCTTCTGCTATTGGGCCTGCAAGCTTTGAGCAGCCATGCAAGGGATTATTTCTGTTCTAATATGTGAGAGGTCCTGCAGCTGGCCTAAAGAGAAAGGAAAAACTGTGTTTTGATTTCTTATCTTTGCGTGACATGTTTAAACGTAGTGCAAGGCTAAATTATCTTTTTCCCCTTGCCTTAAGATTTGGGATATAGGAGGGCAACCACGATTCCGAAGCATGTGGGAGCGATATTGCAGAGGAGTTAATGCTATCGTGTAAGTGTTGTCTTCCTTCATCTAGTACTTAACTTCAGATTTGCTCCTCTTCTGTGTGTAGCCTTTCTAACAGTGCATGCTTGACTCGGTAGTACTCGTTTTAATTTTGAAACTGTACTGCAACCATATTGACCTTTTTTTAACCTTAAGTTCAGGGCTCAAGATGGGTTATTTTGTTATCAGTGTCTGATCTGAAGTACTAACTACTTCCTGTCTGAACTGGGTGGCAGTGCTGTCTAACTGAAAGAATCTTTTATCTACTCTGATCTTAGAGAATTCTTTTTAAACGAACCAAATTCTTTGCTCAGAAGACCTAGCTTTGTTTAAAGCCTTGTTGAATGTGCTCAAAACTGACAGTGTAAAGGAAACAGTGCTGTTTCTGAAGTAGTTCAGGCTAACTAACGTAACCTTAAATTCTCTTTAAAGCTACATGGTAGATGCTGCAGATCGTGAAAAAATAGAAGCCTCTCGAAATGAGCTGCACAATCTTCTAGATAAGCCACAGTTACAAGGAATCCCTGTAAGTAATATTGCCTTACGCAGTATTAAACTTGCCTGAGGAACGTGCATAACTTCAGCAACTCTGAAGTCTGGCTTGAACTTGTAAGTCAAGTGTAATGCCTAACTTTACTGGTTAGTATAAGCATGAACAATACCTGCCCCTAGTGCCTTAAATCAAATTCTTGACCTCGGTCAATCTTTCAGTGATCTTATTCTTGTTCAGTGCCCACAAAAAAAAAAATATACAGTTGGAACAGTAGTTTAGAGTATTCCACAGTATGAGTTTGTGCTCTCTTCTAGAGTCTACTATAGTACAGGTTAACCAGAGTGCAGTACAGAAGTATAGAGCAAGTTTGGGGAATCTCAGCTGAAAGTCTGTTGGGGTTGTTCTCAGTTTTATCAGCTGATGTGTTCTCATGCTTGCTTTTTGCACATAACATTTTATTTGTACCTCCTC